ATATTGTTTTCAAGTGCATTCTAAATAAAATGACTAGCACGCAAAGTCACCCTAAAGGAAGATAAAATTTCAGCTGTGACACAAACTACTTTTCCCTACCACTGCATAAACTTTTATTATTTTAATCTAGAAATCCTGAATTTTTCAGTATTTTTGGGGTTTTTTAAGCAAAGACTGAGTTATCTCTTCTTTTTCAGTGATTTTTCTAATTGACTTTATGATTGGTACCTACAAGTACAGTAACTTGTTCCTAGATTTAACATGTTCCCTGAAATTTGAAGAATTAGAACCTATATATATATATCCATAAAATGAAAAGACAACGCACTGAATTGGAAAACATATTCACCAATGATACATGTCATAAAAAGTTAATATCCAAATTTTATAAAGACCTTAATATAACTTAAATGCAAAAAAAAAAGAAAGAAAACAAAACTCCCACCACATTCCATTTAAAAAAATGGGCAAAGGACCTGAACACTTCTCCAAGGAGGACATACACAGGGCCCAGAGACATACGAAAGGATGCTCAGCATCACTAGCCATCAGAGAGATGCAAATTAAAACCGCAATGAGATACCACTTCACACCGGTCAGAATGGCCATCGTAAACACATCAACAAAACACCACATGCTGGTGAGGTTGTGCAGAACAGGGAACCCGCGTGCACTGCGGGTGGGAATGCAGCCACTGTGGGAGGCAGTGTGGAGTTACCTCAAAACACTAAAAAATGGAACTGCCTTTGGACCCAGCCCTTCCACTGCTGGGATTATACCCTAAGAATGCTGAAGCACCAGTTTGAAAGAACCTCTGCACCCAATGTTCATAGCAGCACAATGGACAATAGCCAAGGGCTAGAAGCAGCCTAAGTGCCCACCAGGAAATGAGTGGATCACAAAGCTGTGGTACGTTCACACAATGGAATACGACACAGCAGAAGGAAAGAAGGAGCTCCTACCCTTCGCAACAGCCTGGATGGCGCTGGAGAGCGTTATGCTCAGTGAGATAAGCCAGAGAATGAAAGACAAATACCATATGATCTCTCCTATAAGTGCAACCTAATGAACAGAATAACCTAATAAACAAAATAGAACTAGAGACATGGAAACAGGGAACAGACTGGCAGCTGCAAGAGGGGACGAAGGAGGGAGGGGATTGTGAAAAGGGAAGGGATTAGTCAAAGCACATGTATGAATGCCCCACGGACATGGACAACAGGGTGGGGATTAACTGTGGGAGTGGGGGGGGTTGCTGGGGGGAGGAGGGCAAAGGGGGAAAAACTGGGACAACTGTAAGAGAATAACAACAATTAAAAAACTTAAAAATGGAACTGCCTTTTCACCCAGTGACTCCACTGCTGGGAATATATACTCTACGAATCCTGAAACACCAATTGAAAACAATATATGCACCCCTATGTTCATGGCAGTGTTGCTTACAATAGCCAAGATGCGGAAGCATCCCCCGTGCCCGTTAGTAAAAGGGCGGCTAAGACAACTATGGGACATTTACACAGTGGACTACTACTCAGCCCTAAAAAAGGAGGACATCTCACTGTGTGTGACAGCATGAATGGACCTGGAGAACATTATGCTCAGTGAAGTCAGCCAGTCAGAGAAAGACCAATATACATGTTTTGACTCATATGTAGAATCTAATGAACAAAACAAACTGCCAACATGGAAAAGGACATATGTGGACACATGGAACAGACGCACAGTTGTTAGAGGGGAGAGCCGCTGGGGAGCTGGGCGAAGGGATTTAAGCAAAGAAAAAAACTCACACAGACAATAGCATGGTGCTCACCAGACAGAAAGGGGGAGGTGGGGGAGGTTATCGGGGTCGGGGGGGGGGTAAGTGGTGATGGAAGAAGACTTGACGGGGTGGTGTGAACACACGGTACGAGGTACAGATGCTGTATTATACAATTGTACACCTGAACTCTATATAATTCTATTAACCAATGTCACCCAAATAAATTCAATGAAAAATTTATAAAAAAAGTACTGATTAGAAAATAAAGCACTTTATAATTCAGATGAATATTTATGAAGCTGCTAATCTCAAAATGGCTCCCTCAGTAACTCTGCTACCAGAAACTAAGAAACTTTTGAAATACACAAATAGTTTATAAAAGAACTCTGGGTGGTACGAAGCCAGAAGTACCTCTTTTCTTTCCCCTCTATGTAATTTGAAATATACAAAGCAGATTTGATTTTACCACAAAACACTCTATTACCTCTCTGCAATCAAAAAGGTCTTTCCAACAAAGTGCTTTTTTGAGATCATCCTTTTATGGAAAGGTTACTTTGCACTACAGCACAAAACCTAGTGACGTACCGCACATCCCGCTCTTTCTGTTTGAACAATAGTTTAGAGACTTCTAATGACTCAGGTGCTGCACACAAGTGTTCCAATATTTAGCAGCCGCGCGCTGTAATGTCAGCGTGACTCTGACACATTCATTTTAATGAGTAAGAGCGCAGATCTTCAATTTTCCTTACTTTATACAGTTTTCAGTAATTGTGTTTGAGGGGATCAGTTCTGCTTTAGCTGTTCTTCTCAAGAGATTTGACACATAATGATGTTATTGTTATGTGCCTGTAACTAGATTCATCTTCATTGTAAGAATATTATCTAAATACTAGACTATAATTACTGGGTTCGAGAGAAAATATGTGTTTTCTAAGAGCTAAGAGAAATTCATTCACATTTACTGCTTTCTTTTTTCAGAGGGGAAAAAAGGAGGAGTGGAAGTATTTGCATTTTGCACACTATACTCTGTTCTACCCATAGAGAATCTGAATAACCAACACAGGTCTTGAGATGTACAGGGTCCGGCAGCAGTAAGGCCTGCCAGAGTGTGGTTGGTAGGGTAATAATATGGGTGTCATAATTTATAGTTTTCATTTGAACATTTCACCTAAAATGCCGTATGGTGCACTTGAGTGTGATATTGTGTTGCTACAGAATTACATGCTTATGATTTTATAATAAAAGATCTTGTAATAAAAAAAGGCGTTACTTGTGCTAGACACTCTATAATAAATGCACCTTTCAAAGGCTTGCCAAGTCACAATATTCTGATAGAAATCATAAAACCTGAATTCCACAAGGGGAACATCACACCAAGGTGCACAGTAAGTACAACAAAAGCATCCTCCTGAGATCCTTAGAAACTTTTTGTCACAGTATATAATCAATACCATAGCCACACATATAAAATAAATATTAATGAACAAATATAAGGACCCTTGGCAAAACAGCTGCAGAAGGAAAACATCACTTTATTGAGTTGTAAGGTATATGAGCATCTAACCACTATGTTGTACATCTGAAACTCACAGAAAATAATACTGAATGAACAAAAAAATCTTTACTTTTCATTAAACAGAAAAAAAAATAGTACAGCTCCCCTAGAAATGCATCCTAGAGTCCTATGCAATCTATACATTCAGTTCACCATCTGAGGTTTTTTAGGGATATGCTGGATATCGGTCCTCATATTCTAATAAATGATAAACTGTATTACAAAAAATAATTTTGAATCCAGAATCTTGTGAAACTTTGTACCATTTGACCAAACTCACCAAAGTCTTAGTTAGCAAGATGAGTACTGTGGTAATTACGGTCAACAATACTGCATTGTATATTTGAAGTTTACTAAGAAAGTAGATGTTATATTGCCTTTCCAAAATACACACAAAAGAAAGTGGCAACCAAGTGGAGGCGACAGATATATTAATTAGCTAGACTGTGGTATCATTTCACAACATATATATATCAAAACAAGTTGCACACATTAAAAAATACACACTGTTCATTTGTAAATAATGCCTTAATAAAACCTGTTACTTAAAAAAACTTTTTTTATCTGCTCAACCATTTATTGAGCTCTTTTTATGTGCCAGGCATGGCACAAGGCTCTGCGTATAACAATGACTAAGACAAAGTACCTCAAGGAACTTATAGTCTAAGCTCGTGCTAGTTCACTCACAAGTTCACTTATGTGGTAAACTCGTGAGTGAAGGGAGGTCCAGAGTGGTAAGGACTTTGTGAGGCAGAATTAGCTAGGTACTTGGAAATAGGGGACTAGAGCTGGAGAGTGGCCGGAGTATAACTAACACATCAAATGTCAACTCTTTTGAAGAGCAAGGCTGCACACAAAAACATAGGAGGAAGCCTACTGACAAAAAGGTTAAGATAGTTTCTATCAGTTCTGTTGACTGAAGTCATGCCTTACAATCAATTAAGCCGCTATGTGACTTCAGGATTAGGTCATGACACCGGTTGACTCAGACACTGTAACTGTAGGTGGCCTGAGACACGAGTCCAGCACTGGGAACCATGCTGAAATCCCATTAAAACCATTAACTATGTACAGCATATTTACAGTACATCCCTATGGAAACGTTTGGAAAAAAATTCTCCTGTAACCTTCATTCAGAGGACTGCACACAAATCAAAGAATTTGTTGGTTTTTATATGTACATTATGTTGGCTGTACAACAGTGAAATGTTTCACTTGGACACACTTTGGAAGCAGTCAATGCCATACACATGTATACAAAGACACCGCATTGAGATGCATGTATATACCAACGTAATAATACACGGCAGTTAACTGCAGCCACGCACCTGTGTAAGGCCGTTTCTTTTGTTTTAAGGACAGAATCCTTGAAGGAAGGTGCAGAGTTCAGGGCCATTTCAGACCGACCCGTGTGTTTTAGTAAATACTCTTTGTGACGAAGTTAGTTCAGAGTGCAGGATGTCTATTTCACTTAGAAAAAGCAGGGAATAATTACAAAGAGTTGTTTTCGAATGCAGAAAACATAATGATCCAGTAATGTACAGTAAGTAGTGAATGACTCCGAAACACTAGTGGCGTTGATGCTGCTACTACCTGAAAACGAAGAAACTCCTGAGAACCGAATTTGATGCATAGTACATCCATACAGGATGTTCCCCAAAGAGCCCACACGTGAATTCTCAAATCCTAGCAGTCGCTCACTTCAAGCAATTCTTCACTTTCCTGTGGAGGAGCTTCTTTCTCATCGGGGTGTTCAGGATGTTTGCTTTTAGGTGAAGAGGTCATTGCATTTTCAGACACGTTATTACTTGAGCGCTCCTGCTTTGGTTGAAACAAATAGACATCAATGGGCCCTTTGGTGCTCCGTATACGCAGGGCGATAGAGTCTTCTTTGGGAGATGGAATCTCCAGTGTGGTTTCTGCTGGAGCTTTAACCGCAATAGTCATCTGTTCACGGAATGCTCGAATGCTCTGAACATCTTGGTACGTCACATATGCTAGTCTTTCATTGTCTTTGTCATCTGTTAATGCAAACAACTGCTGAGCACAATCCTTAAGTAAGTCATCCAGAGCACGTTCCTGTGCCGTTAACTCACTAATTTCGTCATGCAGCTTCTTCTGAGTGGGCGATGGTCCCAAAGTGTCGATATCAGGTCCTATCCATCGAATATGGTTCTTCGATATTTTTTCAACCATGTGGATCCCATGTAAGACACTGGTGATATCATACAATCTTCGTTTCGGTACTCCCAGTATGGGCACAATCTTCTTTAAATGAAGAATACCCCCGGGAGCATTTTTGACGATATCCATAAATTTTTGAGTGGTCACGAACAGTGATGAATCAAAACGAGACTTCATCCATTTTTTAGATTTTGCCGCGGGCGCTACCTCGGCATCATCCTCTACATCCCCTTCTGGTGGGCGCAGGACGGCCACGCAGGCGCTGTCTCGGCAGCAGTGGCGCTGTGGCTCCATGGCCAGGTCCACGGCCGAGCTGGGCACCTTCTGCACACGATACTGCCCACTCACGCTGTCCGGCTGGTCACCCATCGCCCTCAAACTGCGCCCTCACGCCGCGGCCCTCACGACCCGCGAACTCTCTCACCTTCTCGAGGACCCGCCGGAAGCTGCCGCCAACTCGCCAGTCCAGAGCGAAGCACCAACAGGGCTTCCGGCCAGCTGGCAGACGTAACGGGCAACGCCGAGTGGCCAACGAACAGGCCACCGCACCACAGCCCACAGCCCCGGGAGCTACAAAGAACCCCCGGACGCCCGGCCCACCGCCTTTGCGCATGCGTGCTGCGCCGCCTGCGTGTGCGCCCCGCCGCCCGCACTCGCGCTGCGCCCCCCACGTGCGCGCCGCGCCCCCACGTGCGCGCCGCGCCCCACGTGCGCGCCGCGCCCCACGTGCGCGCCGCGCCTCCCTCACGCGCACTGCGCCGCGGGCTTGCGCAGTGGGCCGCCCCCAGTGCGCATGCCCGCCGCTGTCAGACCACCTCGCCTACAAACCTCCTCTTCTTAAAATATGAGAGAAAACGAACAAGGTGTGTGAGTACCCGATGATACCTAATAAATGAATGCATCACAGACTAACAATACTTCTTTAGGTGTTTTGTTGTTTTTTTGTTTTTTCATTAGAGATACACTGCATCAACGAACGGAACCAATATTAAAAATTGTTACAAATGGTACTATTTAGTGATTCATTCTAAGGAAAAAGGCAAGGATGAAAAATGTAAAATATTATTTCAGCAGCTATTCCCCAACAGTAAATAAATATTACCTGTATGCAAAATAGATACTATCCTGGAGTTTTTGCCTTATTCTTTATTTTCTTGATTAAAGGCATTTTTTTCCAAGGAGGTGATAAGGATACCTCAATATTAAGAACTATGTGGAATATAATGCTAGTCATGATTACAGCACCTACATTTAACTTCACCTTTTAATTACAAATCTAATTGTTAATGTGAGAAACTTAAAGCATGTATGGAACATGTTCAATTTATACTCCCTTGCTGTTTACTTGTATTTCAAGCTATTCTTCAATTAAATATTGTCAAACATGACCAAGATGTAAACATGTTTGAAGGCACTGTCACAACATGACGTTCTAGAATGTCTCTCTAATCAAATTCAAATTTTATCTGTATGTATACATAGTACCCTTTTTCCTCCCACGTTAGGCAAAACATTTGGTCTTCTTTCTAAAGCCAGAAATTCCTTTTTCTTTCCTTCTCTCTCCTCAGGTTTTTTTCCCATTTATTTTCAGTCTCTCACTTTACACCACCTAGTTTCCCTTCATTATTGAAACAAATTCAAGATGTCCCCGTTCTCCAAAAAAACAAAACCAAAACCAAAAAAGCTCCTCAATCCTGATACCCCTTTCAAGATGAAATGCCTTTTTCAATTCCCTTCATTTCAAAGTCCCTAAAAGAATAATCTATCTATATTTGCAGAACCTCATTGCTCAAATCATTCTGTAATCCCTCGCACACCGCTCTACCTGAAGTGGAGTATGTCGCTCAAAGGTCAGTAGCTAAAAGAACACAATAGCCATTTCTTATTCTTCATCTTATTTCTCTTTGACATTTGACTGACTTAACTGACTTGACTCCTTCCTGGCTGCTACAGTTCTGTACACTCTCTTCCTCTGCCTCTGACTATTCCTTCTCAGTCTCATATACATGCGCAATATGCTTTTCTGGTCCCATTTACTCTTCATGTGAAAGCATGATGTTGCTGGGAATTTTTTTCCCCTTAGTTCTCTTCTCTATACAAAACAAAAATATAAACTGGCAGTCTTTGTATCAAGTACAGTTTACAGATACGATTTGTTTGATCAGCATTCAAATTGAGCATGTGTCCTCTAGTTCAATATTGTAACTGATTTGTTCTACACATCTGTTTTTATAAGCCAGTCTCAAACACTTTGTCTTTAATGTTTTTATTCTTATATACTCTGAGTTCTAAGTCCACGTTTTTAAATCGGTTTCACATGACCATTTTTATATCCCTTTAGCATCTCAAACTATATTTCTAAACATCAACTTAGCGGCTTCCCTCTCAAACTCTTTTTTTTTTTAACTTTCTTTAGGCTGAGAGTGCCAATATCTTGCTGTTTTATATCTTCCCATTGTTTTGGGCTTAACAGTTCAGTGTCATCTTTGATTCTTTTCTTGCCACACAAAACCAACTGTTTTCAAGTCCTGTTGGTTCTAGTTTCACAATATATTTTGCATCTATCCCTCCTCTTCATTTCTAGCCCAAGGTTAAGTTTGCATTGCTTCACCTGTTGATCACTGCAATAGCTTCCTCGTGAACTAAACAGTGTCATATGGAAAACATTTGAAGGAATATCAAGTTTAACCTGGGGTAAATAATATTAGGCCGCCTTGAAAGCTACCTTTAAATATCTGAGAAGGTGTCATGGAGAAAAGTGATTAGAATTATCCTGTGTGGCATTCAACAAAGCCAGGACCACAGTGGGCATCATACGTATGGAAGGGTTTGGAGGTCAATATAAAAAACTTACTTTCTAATATTATTTAAGAAAGCAAATGCCTACACTGCTCAAGGTATTGGAGCCCAGGCTGGAAGACACCAGCTCAGAGATATTATAGAAAGGATTACATAACTTCAAAGGGCCCTTCTTGTCACAGTCTTCGGTTTTAAGAGCTATATAAATCTGCAAGACTGCCAGATCTGTAAATCCAATATACCCATAAAAGACTCTAAGAGGGTATTTCTTTATTGTTTCAACTGCCAAGGAATATACAGGCCATGAGTCAAGTTCTTTGAAGATTCAGCAAGTTTGATAACTTTTTCTAAAGAAGCAGCAGTAGTTACAAGATTTTTCAGGCCCTGAGTGTACAATCAGAACCCTGAGGAGAACAGCAGTAATATTATTATTATTTTACTGATTAGAAAAATTGAAATTGGGCAGTGTTATTTCTTACTAAAGGGGTATGATATGTCAACAAGAAACATTATTCAAATCATTTTCGTCTGATTCCTAATCCATTCTTTTTTCCATTAAAACATGTTGCTTTTCATTAATGGGTGGTTTCTGGCATGAAAATGAACATGAACTCAGTGATAAAGGCCAAGCAATAATAGTGGAAAAAGAAGTTTTAATAATGTAGAACTAAACATCCATAGTACTTGATGGGATTTATTTGATTTAGTGATGTTTAGTACTATCAGAAAAAGTTCCACCGTGACTCAGGTAAACATTGGTCACATGAATAAGCCATCCCATCAACAGAAGAATTTCCTGACTTTCTTTGTATCTTGAAAAATACCTCTCCTTTTATAAGTTCTGTCTCTTTACAGAATGGCTGATTTTTGTCAAATGAGTGTATAATAAAGAATCTTCTATTTTTTGAATTAGGAGGAAAACTTATTACATAGGTAAATGACTTATTTCCCCCATGAGATTCTTCTCTTGAGAGTCTTTGGGGGGTTAAAAATTAAATTTGAAAATATGCTAGAACTGCCCTAATAATATTGGTGTTATTAGCGAGGGCAGGATTTAAAGAATTGATTTCATTATCAGGATTTTTTTCAAAAGTGATTTCACAATAGCTAAAATGGTTGTTTTTACCTTAATACTTATTGACTGGTATGCACTGCTCCTCATGAGTCTTAAATTTAAAACTAAGAGTATAAATAGGATAAAATTCATATCCTCAGCATGTTGCACATTTCAAGACTAATTGTCATGGCAGAGCCATCTGCTCCCGTAATTAAGCACAACAGTCCAGCAGTTGTCCAGCTGTTGCCATTATGCAGTGCATTCAGTAGTCCAATAGGCTGGTACTGAAATGGGAACAACAACTGAGACAGCTGTAGGTGCAATCCAATAGGGAGTAGGAAAGACAGTCATACTAGTAGTTACCGACTCCTCAGGTGTCAATCTAAAATGTGCCCTTTGTCTAATTTACAAATTAGCCTGTGTTGCAAGTTTATGTTAGAATGTTTCTTACTTTCTTCATTAGTTTTTCCATACATTTGTAATCACATTCAGGCGACTTTTTATATTTTCCTGTACTGGCTAACAGAAACACGTGCAGCTGTGAGCCGACAAAGTGAAGCCATCCATACTCTTATTTCTCAGCATTTTCCAGGAAGATCCGCGGGCCCGTAGCAATGTCTTATTTTTATGTCGCATGGCTGTGGTTGTGGGAAGCGCACTTCTGCCACTGGCTCACCAACAACTGGTTTTGGGGAAACAGCCTACTGGGATGTTCTCGAATGTCTCAGTTTCCCTTGTCACAATATCCACAAGTGTCAACAGTGCTTTCTGCTATGGACCAGCTAAGGATTAAACACAAGCCTGCTCAGCATTAAATGTGAAATTAATGTAAGACAATAGACAAAAATCCTTGAGGAGCTGAAACTACGTCTTCCCAGGGTCTAGTACGGTGTCTTTCATATAATAGACATTCTGGAAATGTTCCCTTCGTAAATGTGTACACAAATTAACCGCAAGTGCAACAGCAAGCGTGTACAGTAAGTGCAGCTGGAGTTCAGATGCGATGGAGAATACGAGGGGCAGAACTGCTCAGGGAAACGTCACCGAGGTGATGAGTGGGGCCTCGGAGGTTCTGTAAAGTTCAATACGCAAAGGGAGAAGGGGACCTCAAGGTGAGGGGAAACCTTGGCACTTCAGAGCGCTAAGTATATTCAAGGGATAGTGAGTAGTAAGCCGGTTGAATTACAGCGGCAGTCTCAGGTATCAGATTTGTAAGAAAAAGGCTGAAAAAGAAGAGGGGAATCAATTTCGGAGATATCTAAATGTCAGCCAAGCAGTATATTTATCTTACAGAAGGAGACGTTAC